AAGGGCATTTCCCCAAACCTGAAAAGGATGATTGCTTGCTACCAGACAGCTAAGGGCATCTCAATCTACATGTTATTGCCCCCTGTTGGCCAAACACCTGAACAGTCGAAGGCAGTTTCTCCAAAACCTGATAATCTGACAATGGACTATGTATACGGAAACTCTACCCTTTGATGTGTATATCTCTACCTTGCCTTAGGACAAATTGTGTTCATAAAAAGCATGGGGTCCTGAGACGAGGAGAACTTAGTTCCTTTTAGCTAATGACCACCAAATGCCTTTCAAAATTATGCTTCGTCTCTGGACTCTTTATTAAGTTACACACAGCCCTTCTCCAGATTGCTGAACCCTTCAAGATGCTGGATCAAGAACCCCGGCAGATAGTTCATCCAGTCTACAATAGAAGTATTAGAGAGAACGGCCCATGATGTGGTAGGAAGTGTTCAGTAAGAATGGCATTAGCACTCCTTCAGTTTCCAGATGCCTACGTTTTGGCCATGGCTGCTGACTCAAATGGCACACATTTTTCTCAGCTGATTTCCAGAGGCATGAGCCTAGCAACAGAAGTGATCCTCTGCCCCAGCACCTGTGGCAGGACAGCGCGTCTCGAAGAAACAGGCATACGCCTCTCAGCTGGCTCCCTAGGCCCTTTGTGAGCATCAGCCAGCTCTGAATTCCTGTCCCAGCTGGACAGTCACAGTGGCATGGCTCATCTAACCTCACGTGTACACTACCACACTCACAGGAATCTGTCAATCCAAACTCTAACACCACAAAGAGCAGTCCCCTAGGATCCATGCAGCCTTTGCAGCCTATGCCTAAACCAGAAGAGCCAAAAGCATCCCTCTCAGCTGCTCAGTCCCTGCTCCTTCTGCTTGCTATTAATGCAGGAGACGGGAAAAGGGCAAGGACCTTTCTATTTTCTGCATGTGAAAGTATAAGTGCCGGATAGAGTGCTAATAAAAAGCAACTCATTATAAAAGTATATTCTAACAATTTGGCAATGTGTATCAGGAGTCTTTGAAATTTATCCGAAGAACTAATGTCAAGCACAGAAAGGACTTACATAAAAGTGCTCATCAAATTGCCAAACAGTGGTGAATAACTGACAACAAGCTAACAGTTTCATGGTGTGGGTGTGGCTAAATAACTACAGTAAATCCACAGAATGATGCCTCATGCCCACTAAAGTAAGGAACACACCACTACCATTATTATTTAACAATGTACAGGAGGCATTAGTCAATGCAATTAACCAAAAAAAAAAAAAAAAATTAGAAGTATCAAATTAAAAAGAAAGAATAAAAGTTATCACTATTGGCAGATGATAATTCTATATCTAAAAGAAAAACTACTACCAACAAAAAGAATTCTGACAAATCATCTACACTAATAAAAGAGAAACATGGTAATTGGCGTACGACCGCTACCCTTCCCATTGGCTAATCAGGGAGATATGCAAATTAACTGACAGCCAAGATGGCGGCCGGCAGCCAGGCAGCTGATGCGAACAGGGAGGCTTGCTTCCTTCAGTGAAGGAGGACTCCAACGTTCCCCGCCTGCGCTGCCCACCTCTGAGCTTCAGTTGGAAACATTGTAACATTTATAGAAGATAAACAAAACCCCAGAAACCTCCTGTCAGTCAGC